TTACACATAAAGAATAACCGAATTTTCAATTGTATTACCTTGGCCTAAAATAAAAACGACGCATCAAAATTGACAAATAAATTTTAAGGGTTTTTACAGTTGTTCCCGAGTTCAGGGCGTGCAAGAGTAAATTTTGCCATTAAATGCTTAGTGAATATTATATTCCTCCCTAAAAGAAAATATACGATTGTTAAATTGCTATGAACCGAAGTGAAGTCTGTGTCCAACACAATTGTAGAGGTCTTATATAATTAAAATTTTAATGGAAAAACATTTTATCCGTTTTAGTGTATGTGTTATTATTCAGCTTATAATTTCTGGATGAGCTGAACGGTAAATTTGTTATTTAGGTACCTAAAATTTAAATACCGTAATGGCTCATATTTTGTACACGCACAATACTATTGGTACCTAATGCTATTGTTATTGTAGCTATTAATTTCTGTGGCCAAGTACATGTATTACTGATGATAACATAACGCAGCAATTTGTACGTTCGAAATTGTATCATTTTTTTCGCAGTGTAAAAGAACTCAAAGACATAATATATTTATTAGGATTATTTCCTCTAAGTCCGAATATGGTCTCATAATATTTGTCTACCACGTCAATTTGTTATTTAAATCGCTTTCTATGTATTTGATACACATTTTGGAGCATTATTTAAATATACATTCATAAAACTTACTATAATTTGTTTTACCTATATAAGTTATTATACCTCATAAGTTACTGTGACGGCACACACAATAACTTATGAGATATAATAAGTTATATAAAACTGTTAAAAGAAGAAATACAAATTGTATGATAATAACAAATCTTAAGAATGAAATACATATTTCACGTTGGTACTCGACAAAACTCAATAATAATGTCGTGTGGACTTATTAACCGGGATTATAGCTAACTTGGTCCTCACCGGTCGGCCTATTGGTGTGGTTTGCCGCTAAAAACCCGGGTGGTCACCCATCCGGGATCAAGCGGTACCGGTCGCAGCTTAACCTCAGGCGCCTTGCGGCAGCTGCGGTATCCACTGCGCCACACCGTACCCGTGACAAAACTCAATGAGATATGTTAAAATGATTTTGTCAATGAATACAATATGCTAAATATATTTTGAAAACATAAAATATGAATGTTAAACAATCAACGAAACTTAACCAATTACTTGTCTATGGAATTTGATTGGAGCGATATAAAATACCTATATTGTCGTTGGCACAATTTCAGGGCTGGCCCAAAACTCTGCAAGTTTGAATTAAAAATATTTAAATAGGTCATACTCAAGAAATCTTTTATTAAAAAAATTAAACCTTAAAATGTAAGCTTTTGGACAGTTATCACTGGTCCCCCACCTTAGTCCTGAAATTGCATCAATGTAAAAATGTTATATTGTTTTGTCAAATTTAGGGACCTGAGAAAAAATACATTATGTTGAATAATTCTATTTAAAATGATTCGTTTATTCGTAGTAATTCGTCCACTCTTTATTGATCCAAAAGCTTTTGTTGTCAAACGATTTTATAAAGAATCTCATGAAAAATATTGTATCAGTTGGCATAGAAGATTATTTCGTTTTGTCTATGTACGTTTTGAGCTTTTTGATATTATTTTTATTATTGTACAAATTCGTCTTGTCTAATATTACATTATCTGTGTACTTTAAAGTTAATGTTTGTGAAACGCTGTCTGTTTCATCAATCTGAGTGTCCTCTCAAGAAATCCTCTGACCACAACCTCTGTCGTGCATTTTAATAGAAAATTATGTTTTCGAAATGCTTAAAAACTATCTTAAAGCTACTTATGGGCAGATGGGCTATTTACATACGATGTAGCAGCATATGACTTAATGGTCACCGTTTTATTTACTCTTGTAAAATGTGTTTAAAATAGTATAATAATACAATGTGATTTTTTCGTAAAGTGATCCACTTGATACCTTACAGGGTTCATTGAATTTTTTCCGCTGTGTTTTTATACAATTCGATTTAACTATAATGATTTCGAAATAAAAACAAAACAATTTTTACGGAATTACATTATTTATTTAATCGTTTAATGAATTGACATAAACAAACTTAAATAATCGTATCTTATATTATCAATATGGATTATTATTGTTGTATATTTATTAAAAATCATTAAATAATTAAAATACACGTGTAAATGAATCATAGAACATCAAATTTAAAACTTATAACCCATACTTAAAGCACTCCCAAAAAATATTCGTAGGCAAATTATTTAATATAATATTCAATTCAGAAAAAAATCATACAACTTTTTAGCGTTCACTCATTGGTAACATTAGTGTCATACACCTTATATATAACCATGAATAAATCCACAATGTCAAGACTCTTGTCGGCTGAAAAGTAAAGTCTTTTTAGTTAAAAGTATATTTTAGTTCTTTAGTGTTACTTCAACATTTTGCCCACTATAATATCATATTTATTGTGGAAACATAAGCCTAGATCTTATACTATGCTCATGATCACTATGATAGTTGTTTAAAACAAATAAGCTGTTTTGGTTAACGCTATAATTTGCAATATACCATCGGTAACGCCATCTTTAAGGATAGATTTAACGTCTAGGTGACTGAAATGCTCGAGCACCATTTCCTCTAGTTCATTTCCATTGAGTAAGCCGTCATGGTCTTTGTCGAACACAACGAATATTGCTAAAACTTGTCTAACCTCAATGGTATTACAGACGGTTTCAACCTGAGAAATCAGCAAAGTAATTCATGTAGCACATCTTAAGATTATGTAGTGTACAACAAGATGCTACACCGAATTTGCATAGAAAAGCATATAATCTATTATAATTTTTTGGTAGATCCAATCATTTTGACTTGAATTCGTTTTTAAAGTTTAAGTTTTGATTCGCGCAAAACGATATTCATTGAAAAATATAATGATTTTTTAAAGAAATTACCGTGATAGCCTGACAACAAAACACACTATAGCTAATAAACAAGTCTTATTGCTGTATTAATGAGTATGCACTATAATTGAAGCTCTAAATTAAGACTTTGAGAACGATTTCCTATAATTTACTCATTTAATAAATGGACGGGTGCGTCTTGATCAAAAAATATAAAAAGCAATCGTGATAAAACTATAAATATTACTTCTGCATTGTCCGTTTGGTTGTATTCTGTTGAAAAAACCATCAGCTCTTGCAGCTCAAAAGCAGCCGTTTCTATAGTATAAATATTGAATATATTTTTAATTTTATTTAAAATTACACATAGAATCAGATTTTAAAAACATTAAAACAATTATATAATAAATCTTAATATTTCATAAATATTATATAAAACATAATAAACGAAAATATCATTTAAAACTTAATAAATAAAACATAATTTATTTATTCATTGTTTATAGATGACAAATTTCCCGATTAATTTAGTTAGTCTGCTTCTTACAGATAAAAAGTTAGTTTGCCAACTTTAGATGGAACAATATTAATAATAAACGAGATAGTATCAAAAATATATTCTTACGAAAGCGTTCAAAAACCTATTCCTCATGCTGGCCATCAACTATACATAATCCTTTCATAAACTCTGTTAGTTTATCAGGTTGAATGTAATCGCCATTTATTTTGTGATCTTTAATATTGTTCAGATCTACAATCTGTTTCACGTTTAGACCTCTGCTCTATGAACAAATATTAAAATGATGTTTTTATTATTAAGTCAAGCCTTTAACAAAACCATAAATCCTTACTAGAGGTTTTACTTTCAAAAAGCCATATAAGATCTCCGCGAAGTTAATTGCATTGTAACCTATGAAAATTAATATAAATTATCAACCGTAGGAATATAATTAACTGCCTTGTTTACTCAACATTACCTTCGAAATAATCGGCCAAACTTTTTTTCTCTTCGTCGTTTAAACTTAAAGCTTGAATGATATTTTGAAACTTCTCGGAGTTAACTAGACCATCGTCATCGCCTTTTTTTTCTTCGTGATTTCTGAACAGGCTCAAGTAAATTGTTACTTCGTGGGTTGATAAACTTTGGATCTATGTAAAAAATGGTGTGTGAAAATAAAAAAAAATAGATTAATTACAAATTTTTCAATATTTTTTTTTTTTGGTAAGTACCATCCAGTGGTCAAAGGTCTTATTGTTTTTGGCCAGAAATACCATAACACTTTGCACTTTTCGACCGCCTTTCATATCTATATTTAAAAATAAAATTCTAAACATATTTTAATCGAACTAGCAAAGACAAGTGAGTTAAATTGAAAAACGCTGTTTAAAAGATACTTTATTACCTGCTTCGTATGTAAAACCTGTCATATCCTGCACGCCCATATTTTTAAAAATTTCATTGATTTCTTCTGGTGAAACTTGGTCTTCATGGGATTTGTGTTTTTTGAATAAATCAATAATCGTTCTAACTTTAAATATATTGAGTCCGATGCTCTATAAAGGATCATAAGTACAATAATAATTTGTATTATTATGTTTTATACTAACTTGTGTCATGGTCACGAAGTACAAAGCACAAAGGATAACAGCGCATTTGAAATGCAAAATGGTTTTGTTTTTCAAACACTTTGTTAAAACAAAAGTACGTCTTCGATACCAAAGCCGGATGAACAGTGGTGTTTAATTCGGTTCAAGTTGTATTCTATATGATAAAAACAACATAAGTATGTAAATGGAAAATGTACTTGTTTTTATTTTATTTACATATGATATAGACTTATTTTTATGACTAAAATGTACAGTTGTAAATATAGTGTTGTTCTAATGAAACTACTATTTACTTATGTGAAATAATATAACAATATATTTTTTTTTTTGCTGTACCTAAATTACATAGAAACAAAAAACAATGTAGCGAACGGTGCATATTGTTAAATATTCATATAATATTGTTTATTTGTTAAAAAAAAAAAAATAATAAATTCCACACACTATACTACGTGATAACATTTATTTAAGGGATGCGGAAATCCTGCTAAAATACTCATAGTTAGATTTAAGGCGTTTTAACATGATAATTCTTAACCGGATGACATAAGATGAAAAATAATAAACTACCATATATGGTGTATTAGCATTAAATTAATTTAACAAGAAAAACAAAACTTCCACGTTTCTCATTAAGGCATAAAAAAATAAGTTGAAATTTATTTAAAAAATGTTTTGAAATGTATCTCCAAAATTTTTTCATAAACCAATCGATAGTCGTTTGTCCACCGATGGTCTCTGAGAATTTTCAATTAGAAAGTAGAAGACTTAATCAAATCATTCTGTTTTTTTCATTTATAGTTAATTGGTCGACTAATATTGATAGAGTTATTAATGATATAACACTATCCCTTAAGTTTTTAAGCCTTATGTACTTAAGCTATATAAATGGTAACGTTTATATTTTATACATTTTTTAAATAATATAAAGTGATTAATTAATAATAAAACACTAAAACAAGTGACTTGTCCTTTATTAATCGCCCTGAATTCATATATTAGTCAGGGATAAAATACTCGTGAACTAGTGTTTATTTTGTAGTTATCCTTTTGAGAATTGAGAGACACTTAAGGTTATCGACACTTAAAGAACACATTTATTTTTTTCTAAAGTTTTTTTATTTTTAAATTAGAACTATTCAACGGTTTTCGATTATAACTTATCGTAAAATTACTTCTAAAATATTATAAGACAATTAAACAATTAAAATATATGACATATAAAATTATACAGCTTTGAAAATAGTCATAAAACATCAAACTTAAAACTTATTATCTATGATTAAAACACTCAAAAAATATATTCGTTAGAAAGACCAGCTTCTTTCTCCGTAAATATCATCATGAATGTCAAAAGAACGGTCGGCTGTAAAGCGAAATATTTTTAGTTAAAAAATTTATTTTATTTTGTCTCTACATATACTTCAATATTTTAACCACTTTCTGATAAAACTTTTCATAATAATTGTTAAATCACTCATACACTCCGTTGCGTATACAGTCTAAATAGAAAATAAAGTAGATTAAAAAATTAATCTAAAAATAACGTTTTTATGCGTCTTAAAAAGTATAAAATATCCCTCCAGGGGTCTTGATAACCAAATAGGACAGGTGAACTAGAAAAACGTGGGGCGCATCTTTTTACTTAGATATTAAAACCTAAGCTTTCATGCTAATGCATTACGTTGTCTCTCATAATGTTAGAGTAATGTGGTGCTCAATTTTAAGTATTATTTTATTTAGAAAAGAAAAGATGATTGTGCATGAATAATTATGAGTTAAGGTAGTTATTAATAAGAATTGAATGTTATTATATATTCAGACGTGTGAAGTAGTAAAGATGCGCCCCACGTTTTTCTAGTTCATCTGTCCTATTTGGGTATCAAGACCCCTGGAGGGTTATTTTATACTTTTTAAGACGCATAAGAACGTTATTTTTAGATTAATTTTTTAATCTACTTTAGTTATTTTGTTCTTTTTCGTTTTCGTATGTACGTATATAAAACCTGTCACATCCTCTACGCCCAATTCCGTTAACTTTTCTTTGAATTTTTCTGGGGTAATTTAGTCTATAGCGTTTTTGTGTTCTTTGACTAAATCAACAATTGTTTTGATTTGTTCCATATTGACTCCGACGCTCTATAAAGTATCATAAGTAGATAATAACAATAGATACTATTAACTACCATCATTTTTTAAAAATTTGTAATGCATTTATAAGTTGTATTATTATGTTTTATACTAACATGTGTAAAATGTAAAATGTGTAACATGGTCACGAAGTTCAACGCACAGAGGATAACAGCACTTTTGCAATGCATGAAGATTTTTTTTTTCAAACACTTTATTGATCCAGAATTATGTCTTCGATACCAAAGTTGGCTGAACAGTGGAATTCAATTCGATTCGGGGTATGTTCTGTATGGTATGTATTCATAAAAACAACATAAGTATTGGAATGGGAAATATTGGTACGTAGTTGTTGAAGAGTTGTTGTTTCATCGAGTTGTATATATGTACGTATAGTGTAATCCAGAAAAAATATTAAATATTTACTTGTGTGAACTGAAATAACAACATTTTTTTATTTGCTGTAAATCGCACAAAACAATAACAACATAGCGAACGATAAATGTTATTGAATCTTTATAAAATAATAATTTTCGTTTAAATAAAAACAAAATAATTACCATACACCATGCTATGCGATTACATTTATTCAAAGGATGCAAAAATCCTTCTAAAATGTGTATAGTCAGCAAATTTAGCCACACAACTGACATGGTCAACGATACTTTTTTCTACTCCCCTGCCAAACCGCAGCTCACTCAGGAATAACTGATAATGCTAGGACTGTGTGGTTATTCCACTTGTTGTGGTTGGTATTATACCGGAGTTATAGGATAGGAAAGATTGTATGGATATTTTTAGGTTGGGTAAGCTTGACTGGTTGATTTTACCTAGTCAGGTATAGTTTGTAACATCCTTCAATAAAAATTAAACATCTCATTTTTTCTTATTGATCTTTATTTACATCAGCAACCAAGGCCATTAGTAGACATTAGATTACATTTATAAATACATGCTAATTTTATATTAAACTATATAGTTTAATAATAATTTCATAATAAACGGTAGAGGAAATTTCGAACCAAAGAAAAACCCTAAAAAACCACAAGTCACTCGGAGAAGATGGGATTACCGGAGAGCTACTCAAAACAGGAGCGGCTAATCAATTTAATTACATACACCGACTAGTAAGTTTAATATGACAAAAAGAAGAGATACCAAAGGAATGGAAGACAGTCTTAGTTTACCCCATCTACAAGAAAGGGGAAAAACAAATATGCAACAATTATAGAGGGATAGCTCTGCTTAATGTAACGTATAAGATTTATCTTATTGTATACTAGATAAAATCAAACGTTGAGCAGAAGGGATTTTAGGAGACTATCAGGCTGGATTCAGGCAAAACCGCTCTACGATAGATCAAATCTTCATTCTACGCCAGGTGTTACAAAAACTTGGGAATATAATAAAAGCGTGCGTATGTTATTCATCGGTTACAAAAAAGCTTATGATTCAATACATAGAGCGTCTCTAATTAAGACTTTAGAAGAGTTCGGAATGCCACGAAAGTTAATAAATCTCATAGAATGCAGCAATGGTCACACTGACATCAAAGTAAAAGTAGGACACACTCTATCGAAGACGGTACAAGTGACAACTGGACTAAGGCAGGGTAATGCTATGTCACCTGTTCTACTCAACATAGCCTTAGAAAAATTAGTAAGAGAAGCAACTCTAGATAAGAAAGATGTAAAACTAAGAGAAAATAACCTTGGAATTTTATCATATGCAGACGACATAGTCTTGATGGTAGAAAGTAAAGATAAACTCAAAGAACAATAAAAAAAACTCATAAATGCTGCAAAACGTACAGGCCTAGAGATTAACTCTGAGAAAACTGAATATATGGTAGTTCAAAGACACGAGCAAGTAGATCGCTGCAATGAGTGCCTTGAAGTCAAAAACTACAAGTTCAAAGGAGTACAGTAGTTAAAATACCTTGGCGCACTAATAACACAGCAGAATGAAATAGGTATGAAAGTACAAGCTGCCAATAAATGTTATTTTGATCCGACAAAGTTATTAAGATCAGATTAATCTCTATATATCTGAAGTCCCAAATATACCAGACACTTATCAAGCCAGTTTTGACATATAGTTTGGAAACTGGGACCTTAAGGAAAATAGACAAAAATGCTTCTTTGTCTACCTTTTCAATTCCTGGTATGCCAATGCGCCCAGAGATTCTTATAAAGTGTATTTGTTTTCCTTTATCAACAGCCTTATATATTTCTTCTTAGATGAGCTTCAATTCAAAATTTATTTATTTGGTTAAGTTGCTTTGATATTGTTACTATTGCTGAATCAAAACTAATTATAAAACATTAATTGCGAAGCATTTTATCGGTAATTTCATAACTAAAACTTATTTTCTATTTTTTCTTTAACAAACTTGTTGAAATGATGATTCAACTTCAATAGAAATTTACTGGTTTTTAGTATTTTTCTTTGGTGCTTCAAATCGAAAATGTTTTTTTGAGCTGTTCGGAAACTAGATGGCTTGCAAGGTCTAAGAAGGGTAATTATAATGATTTCGAAATAAAAACTATAAGTTTTATGGTATCAGATTGTTTATTCAATCGTTTAATGGGTTCACACAATCAAACTTAAAAAAAGCATATCTTATTTTATCAATATGGATTAAAATCGATGTGTATTTACTAAAATCATTAAATAATGAAAGTTTACGTGTAAAATTATACAGATTCGTCAAGAATCATAATACATTTAAACCAATAAGTCTTCATAATTATCGC